GAAGAATTTAAAAATAATAAACAACACAAGTAAAAATATAAGTGCAAAAAATAAATGCAGAAAGTATAAGAATTAAAAATACAAAGCACAATAATTACAAATAGCAAATATTAGAAGTAAAATCAGAAAAAAAACACTAAACCCTAAATGTGGAATAAAATAAGTAAAATGAACAAAGTAAAAAATTGCGTACACATCTCATTCTTATTCATGGGATGAATGACTAGAGGTTGAACATAAAATTTCTTAATCTAAATCATCACCTAATAAATACTCAATATGATTAATTTCTTCATGTGCATCACTAATATCATTTAAACTTTTGCTTATCAAAATTAATTAGAATGCAAAAATCAGATTTTTCTTCTTCTTAATGAGTAGATTTGATACTTATTTGAACTTCAATAATCACATTAGATTTGGCTTTGGCAATCACCCAATTTACTTTCTCTTTTGCTCTATGAGGGTATCTAAGATAATACACTCGACTCGTTTGTCATGTTAGAACAAAATGATTAAATTACTAGTCTATGATTAATAACATGATCAAACTATTCATAATTGAACATAAATACACTTTACTTAATAAAGTTAGGATATTACAACTGGACTATTTCTTGAAAATCCCATAGTAGTTTATTTCATTATTTGAATTGATGTTTACTTTTACACAAACACTAGAGTTATTTATTAATTTTCTCTTGTACCAAGAACATCTGAAATCTATAGCCATTTACATAAAAAATTGGCCACATATTCACGTTGCACATAGGTACTCGAGCGAGATCTAGCGAGCTTGAATTTGTAATTTCAATTTATTAATTATGAACTTATTAAGCACATCAATAGTCATGTGTTATTATTTAATTCAACTTACATATAAGTGAATGTGTGCGCAATTAGTAGAATTTATGGGGGAGTTTAAACATTGATGGGTAGTATTCTCCAAGCTTCTTACTTTTCATACTCTCATCATCCACATTAAATAAACTCACAAATAACCTAATCACTTATTAAAACTTTTTAGAATCAAGGGAGTATTATATTTGAGTTACAGAGTTGAACAACTATTACTAAATAATCCATCTTACTCAAGGAAGCATTAAACTTCACCTTAATTAAGAAGAACATAAATAGTCACCACTCAAAGATTCTTATCATTGAGATTACATGAATGCATTATCTTTCAAGCTTGTACATTATCGTATAAATTCTTACTTCAAGTTGTCATAACGCATTAACTTTCAAATGAGTCACAAATAAGTCTTTTGAAGAATATACAGATTTCACTTAAATGATTAAGTATCTAACTTAGCAAAAAACTAAAGTTAGTTTACAACAAATTTTATAAGAAAATAAAATAGTCATGGTTTTTCATACCAAATACCTTTCGTAGGTCTAGGTGAACATAATGGCGACTAGATCACAAAGGTTCATAAGCGGGGGCGATGTTTTTGAGCAAATTGAACGAGAAGGAAAGAGGGGGAGGCTGCGAGAGATTCAGACAGAGAAGGGGGACAAGAGAGGTGCGGGAGGAGAAATGAATTTAGGCGCACGGGATATGTATTTTAGTTTTTTGGCGTCGGCTTTCCGTTGAATTTGTGTTGGATATAGTTCGGCGCTAATGAGTATAGTTTTTCACCTCGCTTTATAGGACGTAATTCGACGCAAAAAACTGTCGCAATTCCACCAAAAGTTTCGTTTTAAGTATAATTTTTATCTCAAATTATTGGACGCAAAATCCGCACAAATATCAAAATTTATCTTTCCTTGCTCAACAACTACAAATTCGACGCTAATATTTGCATTAGAAAAATTAGACATAAATATCATATGCTAATAACAACATCTCCGTATAATGGGCGACAAATGTCTGTCGGTTCGTCTACAAAAAATTATTTGTAGGAAAAGGTCCATTTGCTGTACTTAATTGACACTAGCTGAACAATTTTAATTAATAACATACATGCGAATTGTTTCTCTCCTACGATTTTCGTATGAAAATTTTGTCTCATATGCGTTTTTCTCAATTTATTCATTGCACAAATTTTTGTATAATCTTAATGAAAAACCCACCCTTCACGAAGAATTTTTAAGTGCAGGTAACACAATTAGTGGTATTTTTATGATATATATATATATATATCTGTGTATATAGCCACGCTTGATGCATTTTTTAAAATGTATATTATGTTTAAGCTTCTTACACTTTTGTTGAAAGCCCGTTTGGGGCAGCTTATAAGTACGAGCGACGTTTTTAAAGCGCCGCTGTACCGTTTGGTTCGCGCGTTTCACCAACTTATCCGGAACCGCTTTTGGGTTTTTACACTAAACGCAGGCCGTAAGCCAAACCCCGTGGCCTGCCCGCGGGCCGCGTTTCGCACAAGCTGCCCCAAGTGCACTCTAAAAAAAAAATGGCTCAAAAATCTGTAGTAAGAATGTGTTTAAAAAAATCTTTGTATTTATCTGATAAGCTAGGTGTGGTGGTTATCAATTTTTTTTTTTTTTTTTAAGAAAAATCAGACCGCTGCAAATAGCTGCCACCAAACCTAGATGGGTGCGGTGTGAAAACACTGTTGTCAGTCTTTTGAAAACACATAAGCTGCCAAAACACAGTTTACTCAAACATGCTAGATGCGTTTTCAAAACGCCACCGCACCAAAATCTAATCATAATTGTACTACCCTAATATATAGAAAAGGAAAAAGCAAATAAGTAAACATCCTTATCTATTTCTCTTTATCCCCAATTAAACTCCCAATTCACAATAGCGTTCTCATCTTTTCCATGATTCAAATCAGGGATAATTGCACGCATGCCACACAAAATTAATTTCCCCTTCAAACATATATGTTTTTGGAGACAGAACTGCTGCATGAATTAGGGTTACAGAACCCTAAACTAAGTAA